GTGGCCTCTGCCCTACAGTGAGGCCTTTCATCATCTCACCCTCATAAAATCCTTCTCTTCTTTCAAATTTCAACTCGAATGACTCTTCCTTTGGAATGAATCTCCTGGTACGCTGCTTGCATCCTGGAAATTACTTTGTACGTATGCTATATTTCCTCTTCTACATACACCTTGTTTCCCTCAACATAATGTAGGTTTCTAGAGGGCACAGACTACTTCATTTTTTACTTTGCATGCTCAGGGTCTCAGGCATATAGAAGGTATATTTGTTAATAAATATTTGTCAAATAAATGAATAATGTACCTCCTACATGCAAGTCACCACGCCAAGTGCTATAATATCAACTCTTATATGGAACCAAGATATGTCTCCTTTAATGCTCTACCCCTATGGCTAACTGCGTGGCATTTGGGCTGTCATATACAACCCCTTGTATTACTGAGGTTTCATCATAACATTTCTATCCTTACCGCCTCCTAAGTTCACTACTCATGCCTCCTCATTAAAGAGGTGTTATTCCTTTTCGAATGTTACGCCAATGAAATGCAAGCCTTGCCATGTTCTACTAAACTAGAAAAGTGTTCAATGTGGGCCTCATGCTGGACTCTTTCATCTGTTGCCTGAGAGCTCAGCCTGGAGAAACTCGTCATCGCAAAGTTGGCCAGCAGATCATGAGCTCTTTTGATGAAGAGAACTCCTGAAGACTTATCTACTATGTCATGGGGTCTTAGAGGACATCTAAACCAACACTCATTTGGGATAGGAAAGCTTAGAAGAATAAAGGTTCAGTGAATTGCCCAAAGTCACCCATGTCAGGTGGCAAAGTCAGGGTTTGAATCCAGGGTTTCTGACTCTCTTTCCATAGTCCCACACTGCCTCATATGGGTTACCATCCATGTTGCTGAAGGGGGCATGCACATCACTATTTTCCTAATGAAGAAGTGAGGAGATTCTTTCATGCAGTGATGCCCTTAGAAGTATCTGAAGTAGATAGGACTTTTTGTCCTTACATGAAAGGTCTCTTTTGTCTGTTCTATGTTTATAGCAGATAGATAATTCTTCTCTCCCAGCATCCATTGCAAGACTAGACTCAAGAGTTACAACCTGGGGTCCAGGGAGAGGTAGAGGAAGAGAACAAGCATTGATTACATATTTACTAATATGCCAGGGACTGTGCTAAGTACTATACAAATATTTCACTGGATCCTCACTACAATCCTGGAAGGCAGGTGCTAGTATTATTCCCAATTCAAATTTGAGACAACTGAGGCAGATAAAAAGTTAAATGTCTTGCTAGGGTCATACAGCTAGTGTCTGAGGCTGGATTTTGAATGCAGATCTTCCTGACTCCAGGCCCACGGCTCTATCCACTGTACCACCTTGCTGCTTCTAATACTGCTATGCACTAGTGAGGGAGCATATTAGGTTAATGAGTGGAATGTTACAAACCTGGGTGACTACAAGCATGGTGGCACCCTCAACAGAAATAAAGAAATTCAGAAAGGGGATGATGGGTTTGGGGAGAAAGATAATATGTTCTTTTTAAACTTGTTAAATTTGAGATGCCTACAAGCTATTCAGTTGGAAATGTCCAATAGGCAGGCAGGGATGCAGGACTGGAGAACGTAAGCTTCTAGAGCACAGTGACTTGTTTTCCGCTTGTCATTCTACATTCTGGCACAGGTCAATGCATACAGTAAACAGCTAATAACTGCTTTGGGGACTGGATTAGGTGGTAAACCCATATCATCTTCTCATTTCCCTCTAATGACAGGGAGGCCACCAGAGTTTACAAATAATAATAATTGCTTGATTTTGGATAACCAGGGCACCAATTGTGATGACATAGAAAGGCAAGGTGACCTCATTAAGCCCATGCCTCCATCCTTTTGACCTCATTTTAGAGGAGAATCATTCTGAAAACTTGGCCTCTTGTTTTTCAACTAACTCTTTAGAATTCTGGGAATTTTTGAGGTTAAAAAAGTTTTTCTAATGGCACCATATTAACTATGAGAAAGAGAAAAAAAGTCAACCACATCAAAGTGGTTGCACCTGAAAGATTTCTCTTAGGCTCTACTAAATCTGCTTTTGAAATCCTGCCTGTGGGATTTAAGCTCCTATGTCCCAGGCTGTGCTAGTTACTATTATCTTATCTTGTTTGGTATACTGTCCTTCTGTATATGTTTCACAGACAACTGAGGGAGAATGTTGCAGGTGGGAGGAAATTGTAAATTGAAGGTGATTAGATAGTAGCTAAAATGTCATTGTCTACTTGAATAAAAAGTAATGAGAGTATAAACAGCAACCTGTAGCTACCAAAAACTCCTTATCTCAGGCAGTAAACTCCTAGTAAGAGCAGATTAAGGTCAAGTACCTTCAGCTTAACCTCAGCCATTAATCCAGAAGGCATCTTTCTACAAAGGTACTAAAAACTTTCCAACTGGCTTTTATCTTCTGTGAGATAATAGTATAATAGCTGAGCATCTCCACTAAGGATTTAAGAATTCCCCAGTTTATGTAAAAAGCCATGTCTGCTTTGCATTTCCAAAATCTTAGCAAATAATAATAGCTAATATTTATATGTTGCTTATTGTGTAACAGGCTCTGTACTGAGCACTTCACAAACATAATCTCATTTCATCCCCAGATAACCCTGGGAGATAGGCGCTATTATTACCCCCATTTTACATATGAGGAAACTGAGGCAAGCAGAAGTTAAGTGACTTGCCCAGGGTCACACAGCTAGTAAGTATCTGAAGCCAGATTTGAATTCAGGTCTACCTAACTCCAGAAACAAACATCTCTGAGAAATAACTGAAAATTGTTAGATATATCCTCTGAAGTATTGGAAAGCCATATGCTGACAGCATAGGAAATTCACGGAACAAGGAAAAGGTTGATTTGCAGGAACATTCAAGGTGTGATGATCTAATGAAGGCCATTTTAGTAACATTGCTTTCACGTTTATCTCTTCCTTCCCTAGGATCTTCCACAGCTCCCTTGCCACTGGTCCCCTCTTTCCACTCTGCCCTTGTGCATACATGGGACATCCTGAGTTTGCTCAAAGTTCTTCACATGACCCAGCTCCTCTAGTTTTCAGTTTCTCTCTTTCTTTCTACCATCAAACTTCTTAGATGAATAATCTATGTCCTATGCCTGTTTCCTCATGAGCCATTCCCTTTTCTGCTTCCTGTAATTCCTACCATTGCTCTGAAACTGTTCCTTCAATGGCACCTTCTCAATTCAGTAGCCTTTTTTAATAAAAATATATTCTCCTTGACTACTCTTTAACATTTGGACCAAATCTTCCTCCTTTAAACTCTCTCTTCCCTTGACTTCCCTGGCATAACACTACACTGGCTGTCCTGCTTTTCAATACATACCCGGTGTCTTTGCTGGAAATCTAGCCAACTGGCTCTAACTTCCTCTCCCCAACCCCTCCCCAGCTACAACTGGGATCTTTACTTCAAGACTTGGTCTTTTGACCTGCTTTCTTCTCCCTATAATCTCTTATTCAGAGAACTCATCAATTTTTAACCTTGACCTTCCACCTGTTTTAATATCTGTCTTTCTGACCAATTAATATTTGTTATTTTTACTATTTGGAGGTGAGTCAGGGAGATGGAAGAATTGGGGAAGGGTTGAAGGAGGTAAGTTCGATTTGAATTGGAGTACAGTTGACCAACAGGGGTAGAAGTGCCAGTCATATACCCAGTCTGGAAATGTTTGTGAAATTAGTACCATGGTCTCAGAATGGGGCTGGGTTAATGCAAATAGTGGCAGGGGGAAGTGGGGTGAGACAGTAAGTGGAAAGGAGTGGAATGAGGAAAGGTAAAGGCAGGGGTACCATCAGCTGAGGGCCTCCAAAATCTTAGAGATGCTTCTCCTTCTTAGCTCTCTCTAGGATTCCTTTAGTTGAAGCAGCAGATTAAGTGGCCACCCGCTTCCCTGCCCCCCTATTGCTTTACAATACCAGCACAATGGAACAAACATGACTGACTTTGAGGGGCCTTGAAACTCTGTGTTTCTGGATGGGGCTGACATTTCATTAAGGGAATCCATTAAGTTAAAAACCTTGGCTTTCTGGGAGGTGGTAGGCATTTGTTTTTCCTGAGAAATTCTCCAGGCTTTATGACAGTGCCAGATTAACCCCTGGGCCCGTGTTCCTATATCTCCTTGTCCCCTTCTGCCAACTGCTTCACTCCCTGCCAAACCTCTTAAAATTGTACCTCTGTGAGATTAAGAGTCCTCTCTCCCAAATCACGCTGGGCCAGGTCTGTGATTGGGAACATTAATGCTTGCCCCATCCTGCATTTCCAAAAAGGGAACACCCCTCCACTATGCAGGTTAACAACCACACAGCAATTACTACCAATTTAGAGGGTTGTCTGAATAAGTAGATTCAAAGTAAAATTTGAACCCAGATCTTCTGAGTGTAGATCTTGAGTTCATTCTACTATAGAGGAAGGGAATAATAGTTTTTATAGACCTACTATGTGTCAGACACTGTGCTAAGAACTTTGTACCATGCTGCAACTTTGGTAATCTCTTCCTACCCACCTCCATACCCTCTCCCTTAATGAGAAGGAAATTCATTAGTTTGGGGGCTAGATCTTAGGGAAAAAAAAGATACATCCCCAGCAAAAGACTGGGGATTTGGGGGAAACTAGGTAGTACAATGGATAGAGCACTGAGCCTGGAGTCAGGAACATCCATCTTCCTGAGTTCAAATCTGGCCTCCAGCACTTACTAGCTGTGTGACCCTAGGCAAGTCACTTCACCCTCTTTGCCTCAGTTTCCTTATCTGTAAAGTGAGCTGAGAAGGAAATGATGAACCACTCCGGTATCTTTGCCATGAAAACCCCAAATGAGATCACAAAGAGCTGGACATGACTGAAACAACTGAACAGCAAAGTTTTAAGATGAGGAGTAACCATAATAGTATTTGAAATGAAATTTCTTTGTATAGATCTATAAAATGGAGTCCAAGGTGACTAACCTCCAATGTTTCAGTGTTCCAAAATATGGATTCATTACTCATCACCAACTCAAAGCCGGAGCTCGTGAATTTGTATTTCCCAATCTTCACAAAGTCAATTTTCCCATCATCATTTAGTTGCCAGTTCAAGGCGTCATAAGATCCAGTCACATCTCCATTTTCATCAAGTTCCAATGTGGTATTATTGTGGGTTTTAAATTTAAGTACTTTCAGGTAGTACATTAACTAGAAACCAGGCAACAGTAACAGAAACTTGTCAAAATCCTTGTGGCTTAGGAAACACAATTTTATGATTTAAAATTGAATCAAACATATTTTAAATCTATGTAGCCATATTTGGATTCCCTCTTACTCATTTAAAATCTATCTGTACCAGGATGAAGGAGAAGGCATATTGTCAATATGGATGTATGCAGATAGATGGAGAAAAGTCCTTGTGGACTTTTGAGCAGGAGAAGAAAACAGAATTGCATCACTTCCCAATTTCAGGTCGTATATAGTATTACTGTATGTTATAGTGAGATTCTTCATGTGGGATTGTAGGATGTAGCTGCACAAGGATAGTCGTATTTATTAGCAGAGTAGAAGGCTATAGGGAGCTCCAAATCACTCCCACCCAATTCCTACCACACTTTTCCTGAAGCTTGAGATTCCTTTAATAAAAGGACCAGAATTCAAGACTGCCTCAAAGGGCCAAGCTGTATACATTCATGCAATGCTTTTGCTTACACTAGGTATAGTAGCATGAACAAATCTTATTTAAAAGTAAAATTATCAAACCCACTTGTAATTCTTTGTATTAAAGTACATTTGCACAGATAGTAAAAATTGTGGTAAAATTATATACAAATTATCTTGCCAAATTACGCAAGAAGTTTTTAAAAAATTAAAAATAATTTGTCTGATCCCTTTGAAGCCGAGCAGAATAAGCCTAACCTTCTTCAACGTGGCAATTCTTCATATATTTAAAAATAGGTTATTTCCCCCTCCTCTCCTTAAGCTTTCTCCTCTATAGGCTAAATATCCTCTACTTTCTCAACCAATCTGTTGTCCAGTTGTCTCACTACCCTAATTGTCCTTTTCTGGACTCCAACACAGCTCCCTATCATTTCAAGGGTGTTTATAGTTGAACCAAACAGCAACAAATAGAAGATAAGTTGAATAGATGAGCCAGCATTTTAGTGGTAATGAGAGTGGAAACTCCATATTTGAATTCTACCACCTCATGACATAATGTCCTATACAGGAGCTTATCCATCATCTCATTTGAATTTTTATTGATGAACATGAGACATAGCTCCTTCCTTCAGGTGTGCTACAGGAGAGCAATGCAAAGATTGGAAAACACCATTCGAACTAACTGAGCCTGGAAACGAATTATGAACGTAGAGCATACACTTTCCATCCAAATGACCTCACATTTAGCCATTAGTTCTTGTGCCCTCCTTGGCCTTTCTCCAGCAATCCTGTGATAGGCTCATCTCAAAAACAAAACAAAACAAAACCAAAAAAAAGGCAAAGTTGGAAACCTGCAACCAGATTGACAATGGAATTGGTGTTCTGTCAAGTAAAGAAGATAAAGAAAAGTCATACCTGCCATGGCTCAAAGCTGTCTAAATAGGCACATGATTTTCCTGGTAAATAAGGTCCTTCTCCCTCTACACATCGACTCATTTCATCCAGAGCATAAGCCAAAGCATAAACTGTGTTTTTCACGTTATTTGTTATTCGGAGCTGGGACACATCCAAATAGGTATTTTCCAGGTCCTCCAACTTCTCCTCTCCAGTACAGAGCTTATCAGACATTGAATAGACTCGGTTCTCTTGTCCAGTCATGTTGACCCTGTGGTCAGAGTTGTAGGGCACACTACTGTTGGGCCAGGTGCAGTTGAAAGCAGTCTGCCAGAACTCAATTGTAATGTTATCATTGGGATCCTTGCTGGGATGACATCATAGAGAAACTCTTTCAGGCCTGTTATATTAGCTCTTGGCACAGCAAACCCAATGGTTCCCTTAAAGAAGGGGAAGTATTCAGGCTTCGCAATAAGGGAGGAGGTTATCCATGCTTCACTGGCAATCCCCGTTCTGTTATGTTATTGTATTCAATTTCTAACACAAAAGGACTGAGGTCAATATCTGATGTGTAAAGCACGATGACCTTGGCCATGGAGTTTTTGATGGTCTCAACAACAGTTTCCATTTTTGTCTTGGGGTAGACCTTAGGGATAGTTTCAGAGAATGCAATGCAGAGACCAGCCTTCTCAATTTCCTCTTTGAAAATTTTAATACCATACTTCCCGTAGTCATCATCAGCTGCTATAGTGCCTATCCAGACCCACTTGAAATGTAGGATAAGTTGCACCATTGCAGAAGACTGGCTCTTATCACTTGCAATTACGCGGACATAAGCCGGGAACTGGTATTTATCACTGAGAACTGAGCAGGAGGAAGCATACCCCACCTATAAGAGAATACATTCACCTCGTTAGAACTAAACAAAAGAATCCAAACAATTAACCCAGGCCTTGCATAGTAGCAGCTGTAGCCTTCTCTCATCTCTATCCAAAAGAGTTTAAAATATATATGTTTTCTTCAAGTCAACTTGATAAGTGTTTCATAAAGCACTTCCTATGTGCTTGGCACTGAGCTAGATTCTGTGGATTCCAAGATAAAACCAAAACAAATCTCTGCCCTCCAGGCGCTTACATTCTACTCTCAAACTTCTTTATAAGTACAACACTCATTAAAATTCTCTGTAAACTATGGTTATTTCTCAAAAACAATAATAATGATAACAATAATTGACACTTATAAAGCCTGAAAAATAATTTACTTTGTGTTGTTTGAGCCCCACCTCCCTGCCAGCAGGTGTTTAAAGGCCCGCCGGGTGCAGCACTGTTCTAATCACTAGGGGAATACAACATTTAAATAAGACGTAGCCCCAACCTTCATCAATGAATCAATTCACCAACATTTATTAAGCCCCTGCTTTCACCAAGCACTGTATTAGCTGCCTCATAAAGCTTGTACGTCATCGAGCTGGGAAATAAAACACCCACATTGAAAACTAAATTACTTAATGTTGTATGATAGATGCATTTAAAGAGGAGAAAAGCAAAGTATTTAAGATGTCTAGCATGGAGGAGAAGAATAATGGTCTTCAGCTATCTGAAAGGCTGCCAAGTGGAAGAGAGAGTGAGTTGATCCTATTTGAACTCCATGGGCAAAACCAAGAGCAATGAGTGGTAATGTGGGCTTGACACTGGGAAACATTCTGCCAGATGGAGCAGCCCATGAGAAGTCTGGGCCCCTTCAGGAGACAGTGAGGTCTTCGAGCAAAGGCTGGATGGCTACATGGTTATGTTGTCTATAGTACTTTGTGGGGAAGAGGAAATGAAGGAAGATGGAGTCGATGAAATATCTGCTAAGGCCCCTTCTAACTCTAAAAGGCTGACACTAAGTGAAGTCCAAGGGGGAGGGTCATTTCTGACCAGAGGATGAGGGAAAGTTTCTTGGAAGGTATGGCATTTGGGTTGGGCTTTAAAGGCCAGGTAGGAATTCAACCAGTGAAGAGGAAAACACTTCTAAAAACTTTGTGAGTGTGCTTTGTTCTTTCCTCATTCATATTTCTTCCTTTACAGGCCAAAATTTAGACAGAGGAATCTTCCTTAGGCAGTATAGTATAATGGATAGAGCTCTGGACTTGAAGTCATGAAGACCTGGGTTTAAATACCACCTCAAACACTCACTAGCTGTGTGACTCTTGGCAATTTACTTAATCTCTGTCTGCCTCAGTCTCCTCAGCCATGAGATGAGAGATTTGGACTAAATGTTCCAATGTCTCTTCCAGCTCTTAACTCATGATCGCCTGATTCTCCTGAATGACAATGGCGACAGCAGCCAGGAGCACTAGATAGCAACATGACCATACTGCCTGAAGGTCTGCCTCTACTGGGGTGAGGACTGTTTCTGGGTATCATTTTGCTCCTTCCACACAAATTGCAGAAACATGGCATTTCAAAGTTAGCAGGAATCTCAGAGACTACCTAGACTGTTTTGTCTTTAGACAGGAATCCCCTTGATGACAACTTGTGAGAAATAATTCATTTTGACCCCTACTCTATTCAAATCAGGATTAATTAGTTTGATATGACTCCATAGGGGTGGTGATTATAAATTCTGTAGATTAGGCCCCAGAGCTGTGAACTGCTTATTGCAAGCTCACTCACTTAACTAACGAAAGGCTCTCCACCCTTGTTTTTCCTTGTTATGGTGACCAAGCCCAGTGTGGCAGAGATGACTCAATTACATGGAAAGTCCTCCAATTTATTTTTGTACCTCTGGACCACTTTTTCTTGTCCAGCAGGAGCAGGTGACCATCTTATGATCACTTAGTCAGAGCTTTGCCCAACCTGACACATACTATTTCTAGCTGATGCACCATTTGGGGCCCTCAGAGCAAGGTCTATCAACCCACAGGATTCTGTACTTTGGATAGCCCCTCTAGAATCCCAAGCCTTATAAAAATGAGGGCCTGGAAGAAGGAGGCATTTTAGATCATAAGGAAGATTTGGGGTCCACTTCATTAGAGGGGACCATGGACCCTTTTAAAAAAAAGTGCCATTGGTTCACAGCTTTGCCTCAGTGGTTTTTCTTGAAGATTGGGCAATTATAATCCCCACCAACTCTGAGAAGTGCATCATCCAGCCTTGGCTTGAATATCTCCAGGAGGAGGGAGAGGAATGTACAACTGCCTACTGAGTTAACCCATTCCACTTGGGGGCTGGAGGGAGGCCTAATTGGTGGGTAGTATTTCCTTAAGACAAGTCAAAATTCAACAGTTTGAAACATGCACTCATTGCTTCTAGCTCTGCCCTCTGGAGCACATGGCACACATCCATATGACATCTCATCAAATATTTAAAGAAACCTATGGTGTCCCCTCTTAATCTTCTTTTCATGGGACTAAACATCCTCAGTTTCTTCTAGCAATACTCATACTCAAGACTCTCCTTTGGAGCTAACCAGTTATCCAGATCAGAACAAGATTAGTCTGGCCAGAGAAGAGCAAAGTAGAGTAGGACTGTCATTCCTCTAGTCTTGGGACTCTATTATACAGCCTAACATCCCTTTCATTTTCTTGACCGCCAAATCTCACTATTGACTGCTAACTCCTATTAAACTTGTAGTCCCTAAAATCCCCAGATCTTCAGACGAAATTCTGTCTAGCAACAGCTCTGCCGTCTCATACTTGTAAAGTTGATTTTTTACACCCAGGTGTAAGACAATTAAATTTTACTTGCCCAGTCTGAGATCAGATTTGAACTCAGGTCTTCTTGACTCTAGGCCCACTACTCAATCCATTGATTACATCAGCTACCTGCCTCAGAATTAACTTCTCCTAAGTACCCAAAGGGGGAGGCAGAGCCACAGAAGATAACATCACCCCAACGTTTCCAATTTTCCTGCCAAAAAATAAACTGCATTTCCATATTTGCCACCATCTCCATTAAACATGGCTTGCTCTTCTTTTTTTGAGTCTTAGTCTATATCAAACTGTTGAGTTACCTGAGGAAAGTAATAGAGGCCAAGGACCCTGGCAGTAGCCACAGACAGGGCAGATCCTCCTGCTCCAACAACGCCAGCCAGCGGGGCACCAGCACTGCACCGAAAGTTGGGCTTGTTCTCGTCCTGCCCCGTCAGGAATGACAATGTCCCTTCCATGGCCTTGGAAATGGTGAAGCAGGTGTCAAAAATCTGGTAGCCCAAGGTAATATTAGGCAGGATATCTTTCCTTTGGTTGATCTCATTGATGGTATGGATCATGGTTTTGGTCCAGCGGAAACCTCGGAAGTAAAACCTGAAAAGGAAAGACAGAGGCCAAAAGTTAGGTGGTGGGGAATTGCAAGCCTCCTTCCTAGTACTGCTAGTGACAGCATGGGGGCATGAACCCTACTCAGTGGGAGCTTAGTGACACGAAATATAAGCCTTTTCGAGTAAGAACTAGTTTGCCTTCCAACTCCTGACATTTACTACCTAACAACCCAAGATACAGCATTGTACAGCACCCAGAGAGCCAGCCTCAGTCAGGAAGACCTGGGATCAAATCCTGCCTGTGATAATCACTGACTATATGACCCTGGGCAAGTCACTTAATTTTTTCAGTAATCCAGGGAACTCTGCCAGACTATAAATAGAAGAAATGGTGCTGAGCTGTTTTGATAAAGGGAATCCTCTTACTGGTAGTTCTCTATTCCAATGAATCACAAGTCAAATCCTCTCTTTCCCCCTCCCCCCCAAAAATCAATTAAAGACTTATTAAATCCCTACTATGTTCCAGATACTCTGCTAGGTGATATATAGTTGCACAGACATGCAAAGCTAGATACAGAGGTAGAATCCTTGCCCTCAAGAAGCTTTCATTCTATTGGAGGAGACAACATGAATATCCATAGACATAAATAAAATCCAAGGTGATTCTTATGGGGAGAGCAAGAACTCTAGCCTCCATGGAAAAGGTTTTTGTTGAGCAGAGACTTGAAGGAGACCTGGAATTTTTAGAGGCAGAGGTAGAAGGGAGGGCGTTCTAAGTATGGGGCAGTCAGGGCAAAGGTACAAAGACTAGGGATCAACCTCTGGTTTAGAACAAAGAGAAAAACAAAACAATCTTCTTCTTTATTCTCTTTCCACTCCCTGGGGGTCCAGCGCAAACTCAAAGATAAAGCAACAGACCATTCCCCCAAACTTTATTTAGTGAACAGTAAACAAAAGGGGATTTTAAGGAGAATGAACACTTAAGCCCCAGAGTACAGCACTTGCTGAATTCACAACCATTTGCCAACTCACTTTGCCAGGGCAATGACCTCGGATGCTGACATTGAACTTCATTCTCAGATAGGAACCCAACTTGCCCATGAAGTTATTGTCTGAGCCAAGGCAGGTTTGGGCAGGCAGGAGAATTCCTATACTATCATTGGCTTTGGGAAAGTGCATCAAGGGACACAGGGAAAATAGGAGCTGGCGGGGACTGAGGTCATAAGGAGCTGAAAGGAAGAGGGAGAGGACTGTGTATAGGGATGGCTATAAACTGAGTTTTAATTTTGGAAAGAAATGTATCCTTCAATGTGGTGCACTCCAAATAGTGACCAACTATTTGAAGGGCCAAATCTAGAGGGCAAAAAATAGGGCTGGGAAAAAAGAATGGACATTTTTGAAGGACATTTTTAATACTAGAACTATGATTTCTTCAGGCAGCTAGGTGGCACAGTGGATAGAGTATGAGGCTTGAAATCAGGATGACTCATCTTCATGAGTTCAAATCTTGCCTCAGATATTTACCAGCTGTGTGACCCTGGACAAGTCACTTAGCCCTGTTTGACTGAGTTTCCTCATCTTTAAAATGAGCTGGAGAAGGAAATGGCAAACTAATCTGGAACCTTTGCCAAGAAAACTGCAAAATTGGGTCCTGAAGAGTCAGACATGACTAAAATGACTCCACAACAAGTGATATCTTTGGTATAAGGAGCTCCCAATAAGAAATGTCTCCTATGAATACAGGTGAGCACCTGCTTTGAAATTTACTGTCTTCCAGAGTTGCCTGAGACATTGAAGAGTTAAGTAACCAGGGGTCACTCAGTCATTGGATCAGAGGCAGTGCTTGAAGCCAACTTCAAAGATGTAATGCTCTATTAATCTTTTGCCACATTAGAGTGAATTATCATCATCATCATCATTATTATTTTGTTCCTCATCTTTTCTGACTACTGGAACCAGTGCTGCAACTAGGTCCCATGCTGCTGATATTCCTCTATATTCACAGTGCTCTAAAAACTATTATGCGAGGAGATAAAGAATTACTTTTTGTAGCTGAGGAAAAACAAGAGGATGTCAGCTCATCCTCTGTAAGCTCCTGGAAAGAATTCTTGGTACAGAGAGGACAAAAGAAATAACATGTGATTAACTGATTCATTATTATTATTTTTGCTTTGATATTTTAAGGATCTGTGATTTGGTTAAGATGCATAGCATCCACAGATCCAGATTGCAGCCCCTGTAGCAGGATGTTACTAAGTTACTAAGGCTGAAAAATTCATCGTCCTGAGGCCAGCCTGGGGAAGATCCTCTGTGAACCCAATTCAGCTAGCCCTCAGACAGCAGGCAAACAGTCAGTCACAGGCCTCAGACTTGAAACACTTCCAGCTTAGTTGATCCTAACAAAGTTTGTCCTCTACTAGGATGGTCTTTGGGAACACTGGTCCCTCCCATGTAACCTCAGAGGAGGACATCAGGGAAGGCAGCTCTTGTTGTTACTTCTAAAAGATAGGGACAGGGTCTAAGCCTGTGACTTCATTGGTATAGGGAACTTCTAGGTAATGAAAGTCCCTCCACTAATGCAGGTTGGCACCTTCTCTGCAATGTACAGTCTTAGAGAGTTACCCACAGCCCTGGGGAGTTAAGTGATCTATCCAGGACCACACAGCCAGGATGAGTTGGGGGGAAGAAGGGAACCCAGGCTGTACTGGCCCTCTATCCATTACACCCTGCTGCCTCTCTGTTACTATTACTATTATCATCATCATACTGCTACTTTGATCTGCAAATTACTAGAAATTCAGTAACTGTTCCTAGTGCTTCCCTTCAGTGTAGCCTACTTAAAAAAAATATCTCATCAGGCAATGTCATTGCATGGTCCCCAATAAAAAAATATTATGTACAAGGGCTCCCATAGAAATCTTATGCATCATGGAGCCAAAGGTGAACCTGCAGGTCACATGGCTCCCTCCTACTCCCTGATTCATCTGCTTATGTGGATTAAGGTGCTAAAATAATCTTCCTAAAGCAAAAGTAGGACCACATCATGCCCAGCTCAAGAATCTTCAGTGGCTCCCTATTGCTTAGCATCAAAAGTCCTTCACAACCTGGCTCAGGTTTCTTACACATTACCCCTCCCTACTTCGTATACTCTGCTATCCAGCCAAACTGACCTGTCTGGTGCCTTCCAGACACAGCATTCCATTTCCTCTCTCAATGGCTTTGTATAGGCTGTCCCCCATGACTGGCATACCCTCGCTCCTCACCTTGGTCTCTTAGAATCCCTTACTTCCACCAAGACTCAGCTTATCCTAGAGAAAGCCTTTCCCCTAGATATTCTTGCCCCCTACTCAAATCATCTGAAATGCTTATCTTTTACATGTTCTCTCCTCTCTAAGCCTGCAAATCACTGGTGAGTCACCTACTGCCATAGGGGAAGGAGTTTGCACATTAGTAGTTTCTCACACCAATGAAATAAAAAATGGCAACTATGATTTCTGAGTCACTTCCTGGTTACCCTGTACCCTATGAAAGGGTCTTGCCAGAAGAAAATAAAATTGGAGCAGTCCAAGAGAGCGTTGCAGAACTGTGCAAGGAACTGATTGTCTATGGAAACCCCACGTTCCCAGGATTTCAGCATTAAGAGAGACCTCAGAGGCTGCCTGGTTCAATGCCTATGAGAACGGGCATATCCTCTACAGTAGATCAGACAAGAAGCATCCAGCTTTTGTTGTCATGGGGGAGCCCTACCCACTCCAAACTCCAAGCAGGCCATGCCACTCTGGAATAACTCTAATGGGCAGAAAGCTTTTCTTTTCATTGAGCCTAAATTTGTGTCTCTACAACTTCCAGGATAAATAACACCCTAAGAGCTCTAAATCTGGGCAAAAAACTATTTTCTTTTTTGAAACAGGAAATCAGTCAAGTCAACAAACATTTATTAAACATTTGCTATGTGCTGGGCATTGTGCTAGGCATTGGAAAAACAAAGAAAAGACTTGTTTCTCTCCCCTTTCTTGGCTCTCAGGAGCTCACAGTCTAATGGGGGAAACAATATTCAAACAACCATCTCTGTTGACTTAATATAGACCAGATACATCAGAGATGGTCTCAGAAACAAGACACAACATTAAGCCTTTCCTAGTCCTCCCTAATCTTGGCGCCTTTCCTCTGGGATTATTTCCAGTTTGTCCTGTTTATATCTCATTTGTACATTGTCCTTTGTACGTCGCCTCCCTCATTGGACTGTAAGCTCCTAAAGGGCAGGTACTGCCTTTTGTTTTGCTTTGTCCCTCCAGTGCTTTCCACATAGTAAGTGCTTAATAAATTCCTGATTCTTACTGATTGGTATTAAAGGGCATCTTGTAGAAGGTAAGATTTTTATAGGGGATGTAAAGGAAGCCAAGAAGTCCAGGACAGGGAGATGAGGAGGGAGAGCATTCCAAGCATGAGGCAGAGCCAGAGAAAAATGCAGGAAGACTGAAGATGGAATGTCTTACGGAATAAATAGCAAGAAAACCCATGTCACTGGTTCAGAGAGTTTGTGAAGGGGAGTAAAGTATAATAAGACTGGAAAGGACCAAGCTATGATGAGTTTTTAAAGCCAAACAAAGGCTCCTGGAAGGAATAGGGAGCCTGTGGAATTTATTGAGGGGTAGGAGGGAATGGTCAGACTGGTGCTGAAGTAAATCAATTTGACAACTGAGTAGAGGATGGACTGGGATGGAGAGAGACTACTGGGAGTACACAACACATACACAAATGGAAAAATACAAAGCATATATGAAGTAACATAATGTAAATTCACATCCAAGTAATATTGATCAATATATAGAATCATCCTTCAATGCTTGCTGACTGATTGCTGTTGGGGTCTCTGTTCTCTTTAGGGAGTAAGATACAGAGGAATAGAGGACCAACAAGATTAGGAGAGCGGAGTGCAATTGCTACCTAAGTTAATTTCCAGGTTTGATGTCATACCAATAAAACTAGCAAAGTGCTATTTTTTAAAATTAGAAAAAAAAATAATGAAAGGAAAAAATGAAAAAA